CTGCTGTTTTGCCAGTGGTTGTTGTTGTGGCTGCGCAGGCCCACCTGAAGCTGATCCTCCAGCACCTTCTCCCTTACCCTGTTTGTTCTCTGAGTTGTAGAAAAAATACCTGTACATATGTACGTATTTCAGGCATACATCAAGATAACCAACCGTTCAGCTATAGAAAAACTAAAAATGCAGATCGCTAGTACTTTTCACGCTAATTTTAAAATTGTGCGTATCCGATTTAAAGGCAAATAAGGATTCAAGTCAAAATAAGGACAATTAATTTATCTTCAAGCTGATATGTAAGATGTATGTGTTGTTTATATATTTAAGCTAAAAATATTATAAAACAAAAAAAATCATAATTTTTTTCATAAAATAACCTTTTTTTAGAAAAAATCCATAATCTATGCTAAAAAATTTATATTGGGTTGGCATTCCTTTATGGCCGTTCGTTAAAGGGGCGGTGGGCGAAAGGTAAGTGGGTGTGGCACCTCTAACCCACCTTTTTGGAGAGGGAATGAACCGCCATTGACAAAAATGCAGCCCCCGACCACCTAGGTCCCCTATGGTTCCTTAGGGACCTCTTAGAAAAAATGCCAAAAATCACAATTTTCATTTGCGTTTATTCGCTTGAAAAATGTTAAATATTCATTTGCACAATAAATTTTTATATACACTTTTTTATATACAAGACATTTTTATAAAACACCAAGTAACCAGAATAGACAACACTGGGGCGGCAGCCCCAGGTTTACCACACTAGAAAGGGAATTCTAGTTACCTCATCCTTTCCCAAGGTTACATCAATGGGGCGGTAGCCCCAGTTAGGTCACATAGAAAGGAGAATTTTACCCGAAGGACGCCTACGCAGAAAGGAATTCTACGCAAAAATACTGTAGACGCAAGCAAAAATTGCGATTTTTGGCCATTTTTTCTAAGGGGTCCGTAGGGAACCATAGGGGGCCTAGGTGTCGGGGGTTGCATTTTTGTCAATGGCGGCTCATGCCCTCTCCAAAAAGGTCTGTTAGTGGTGCCACGCCCACTCCCCCTTCGCCCGCCATAATGGAAAGTTTCCCCTTTATATTATTTGTAAAGTGCAAGTTTTTACTTTTAATTTGATATACATATTATATATCAAATTAAAGAGAATTAAATTCTCATTCCAATTTTCCAAATCCTTGAAGAGGTTTTCGAGAAATATCAATTTAAAAAATGCTTAATTGAACTTTGACCTTTAATAATTGTTGTAGTTCTTGTTTCCCAAAAAAAAAATATATATCGTTATGTTCACCTCAATGGTATGTTGGTCACCTAGCTGAACGGTTGGTTATAATGACGTGTTTTGTATTTCACAACTTAAAAACTTCCAGAAAACACTTACTATTCTTTTTTCCCATATTTTATTCCTAGCTTCTAGCTCGCTTTAGATGTGATCTTGATTTGTGCAAACCTCTTTGTTCAAGATATATAGTTTTTTAGATTTCGTACCTTATTTAACAAATTTAATATTTTACGCTTTCTGTACGTGCTCTTTTTTACGTCCGAAGATTTTTACAAAAATATGTAGATAGGTATAAAACGATACTAGTAGATACAAGTACATACTCGATACTTTTCGTCCGATACCAAGTAATTTTGGTATCGATACTTTTGAACCGAGTACTGAGTAGGTATCGGAAGAAAGTACTTATATCGAAACCCGATTCAGTGAAAATTTTATATCCGGACTTTTTTTAATCTAATTATTATTGTGAATATCTAAAATTTTTTGGCAGTTGTCAATGCAAAATTAATACAAAGAAAGACCTCTCATTAACAGATCGCTAACTTGGAGTGAAAAGTTGCTAAGTCCACGTTTTGTGAAAACTCATATTTCTATATAGGAAGCAAGGTAAATTAAAAACGCAACGTCTTCAAGTTTATATTCAATTAAAGGCAAATTTACTAAGTCCAAAAGAGGCACAGAAAAAACGATAAGCTCACAAAAAATTCTAAATCTTTTAATTTGCAACGGAGCCTTCTGCAAATTTCTTGAAGGAAATGTTTTAAAAAGTTTAAATTTTCTACAAATGGAGTTAGCAGCTTTTCATTCTAAAAATGATCAACATGATTACTTCTTTCAGAAATATACCATTGTTACTTTGCAGAACTGCTGTTGAACAGTCTTATAATACAGATGACTTTTATTAATTAATTCATTTGTATGAAATAAATTATAAAATAATTGTTTTTGATCTCAATCGCTTTCTCTTTGTACAAAATAAATAATATGTATAACAAATAAAATACGTACATACATACAAACGAAGACAATTCTGTTAACAAAATTCTGGGGACTTTTTAAAAACAATGTACAACCATCCTTATATAGGTACAAATATCGATAAAAGTAGGTATCGATACTTTTAGCCCGATACTTACTAGGCATCGATACTTTCTTTCGACCACTACTTCCAAGTACAGGTATCGATACTTCCATGGTATCGTTTTATCCCTATAGCTGAAGTAGTCAAGAACGTAAACCTACCGGTACGTAAACCCGAGTCAGCTGACACGATCTGTCTTACCAAAGCGCCATGTAAATGAAAACTCAACACCGCAGAATTTTTCTGTAGTTGTAGCCCGTAGCGCAGAAATCTGCGGAATTTAGATGTTTCCGTGTCAGCTGATTTCTTCTTCTTTAGATGGTTGCCACTTCGTCAGTTTTACAGTTGGTAAAAAAGTTATAAGTTCCTATTCAAAATATGTTTAAAATATTTGAAATTTACTATTGAATAAGGTTTTTGTTGAAAACTAAGTAGTTTATATTTAGCTAAAATCTATTATAGCACGAAAATTGTAGTTGAAAGGGTAAGTTTATGAAAAGGCATTGATGAGTGGCAACAGTGTAGTAAGCAACACTGAGGGCTCCAGTAATCGACAAAATTCTGCGTATACAGACTGCGTTTAAGTATACGTTCTGCGTTCTCGACTAATTTCAGCTTATATGTAGAGCTGTAGCAAACCGTATGTATTCGTTACTGAGTAACGAATACAACACCTGACTCGGAGTACCGAGTCGTTACTCACATAATAATCTCGTTACTCGCATGTTCCGTGTAGCACCATCAACGTAAATCACTACAACGCAACATATTGTTACGATTATCCTCGAAGCCTTGAGGGATTTCCCATATATACTCGGGTTCGTATCGCTGGATTGTTAAATAAATGCTCACGTTGACCAAATTGTAGTACAATTAACTTTATTGTACAACAAACAATTTACAATACTCGCTAATACAGTAAAAACACTCTACAATACTTGTTAAAGCAATAACAACGCTTAACTAAACTTGTTAACACAATTAAACTTATAGCTTGCTTATTCGCAACTCACTTCTCTGCTCACTTTACTTGTAGCTTGCTGTCTTGTAACTTAAGGCCCGTCCACATAGAACTTTGGCGTTGCGTTGGCGTTGGCGTCGCTTCAACAGCTGACTATGAATACATGAATTCAAATGCAGCCGTCCACATAGCCAAAATTTGACAACGCTCACGCCAACACAAAGCAAAAAGATGGCCAACTCTCAACTTTTCGCGTGCGTCGCTCGTCAGCTGTTGCAAATAAATAAAATTATGTGAAATATTTTTCCTTTTTAATCAAGTGCGGGCAAGAAATATCGTTTTTAATGCAATTATTGATAAGAAATATTAATTTATCTGTCGTTAGTATGTTAATTTAGTGGCCCAAGGATTCGCTGCCAAGCGTCATTGTAGCAAGCATACTTTTAACGTGCGTTCTGTCAAACCAACGCCAACGCCAAAGCCAACGCGAAAGTTCTATGTGGACCGGCCTTAACTCACTTCGCTGTGGCGGCGCCGTTATATACCTGCGCTCGTACTTCTGGCAACTCTAGAACGTTCTGAAGTTTATGGCTCATTCTCTTTCTCTCGCTGTTCGCAGTGTTCATCCAACTTGACGTTTCTCTTTGTGAAACATTCTACGTCATTCCTGGAACATTCTACCTATTTCTCGTTGTTCGCTTCGCGTTGCCGCAGTATTCGTCACAATATTGTGCGGTAACCAGGGTGGGCAAAAACTCGGAGTTCGAGCGGGCGAGCGAGCAAACTCCTACTCAATGCCTCGCAGCATAGTTGCCAACTTGGTGCTTTAAGCACTAGATTTAGTGCTTTTTGAAAATTAAAACGCCAAATAAAATTATTTAGTGCCTAGTGTCTTTTTTAGTGCTTTTTTCTGAACTAAAATTACTTCGAGATAGTTAAAACCTGAAATAATTTGAAATATTTAAAGCTGTGGCAGCACTGAATTTATAAGAATCTAAAAATTTAAATGGACTAAAATACAACCATGATTGATAAAAAGCAGAAGTTGCAAACCCACCTTATTAAATTCTATTCGCGTTGAAAATGCTAGTACGTAAGTAAGTTAAGTATTTCTTTTTTTCTCTTCTAATTATTTGGACCGGTTTTCTTTTTCATTACCACCTGAGTAAAACACATCGTTTCTTGGTGCTGAATCCAAATCTGGCCTCACAATTGCTCTGGCACTAGAATTTTGAGATATCCTAACCCCAAAGTGCCCAAAACACCGTTTTTAGCGATATTTGAGGTTATATAGTGAAAACATCAAATTATTTGCTCATTTCTAATTAGGGCATCATTTTCGTTTGTTGCGATTCCATTTTGCTTTCTCGAGATATACCAGTTTTAATGTGCAGTACTTCGGTATTATGTTATGAAAAAAGCATCCCTTGATTCAAAAAAATTTGGTGCTTTTAGTGTGGTAAAAAGCTTTTTTTCCAAGTTTTTGGTGCTTTTTGAAAATCAAAAGATGGCAACACTGTGTTTACTGATAAAAAGAGCGAATCTCGACAGAAACGGCTTTAATGTTTTGAATTTATATATCGTTACCTTAATTAATTAATTAAGGTCTTAATCAACAAATTTTTTATTTTACAGGAGAAGCAAAAAACATTATAAAAAGAATATCAAAATTAGGCAGGACTTTTTAAAAAGTGGAAGTAACTCCGTTGTTTTTGGTACTAACATTTTGAAATTTGTATTGATGCTGTATTTTCGTAGGCCGTCATCGATTCGCCAACAGTTAGCGAGTGGCGAAACGAACGAACTCAATGAGGTACAACCAAACTCGCTATCGTCTATCCGTGCTAGCTAACTTTGTTGTTGCTTTCACATGCAAAATTCTTCTTTAAGCGACCGGAACTCAAACATAGCGAGCGAGAAGGGGCGATTCGATGACGGCTACTATTGAAGTAAATGAGCGATATTTTTATTTATCTTATTTGGTAGGCGAGTTGTGCTCTTACAACAAAAACATAGTTGAACACATTTTAATTTTTTTAATAAAACATACCATTATAAGCAAATGAAAGTTACATTAATAAATTGACTCATTTACCCATTAGTCTTCAAATCGACTGAAATGTGTATTAAACCACCTCAACTTGTATGTATGTGTGCACAAGGAAATTTGTATAGTAAATATTTTGTCGTTATCTAAATTATTTGCGATCAAACAATTTTAACATATTTTTATTACGAGGAAAAAGCTTTTAAAAGAGCTTTTGCCATATAATAGTCGCTATAAATACAGCATATGGCGTTCACCTGCATATTATTCATATTAAAACAGTTCGCCGTCCATTGGAAATATACTTCTCTAGGAATAACTGTACTTACTTAGCTAAGGGATGATTTTCAATTCACTACTTTTTGCATCTATCGGGTGTCTTTCCGCATTTGTGGTTGCACAATCACTATCCCAATCGGATAGTTGCCTAAATAAACTGCCAATGCCGACTAAGTATGATCCTGAGGATTGCAATGGATACTTTGCACTTTTCAACGGTCAATACATACAGGAATATTGCCCGCCAGGCGCTAAATATAGTGTGCCTTTGAGTTGTTGTGTAATCGGCCGTTGTCCACCATGTAATTGTTCAAGTATCGAGGAATCAACAACGGCTTCAGACTCCTGTGGCACAACTGGTTTTATGACTACAAGTGAAACAACACCAACAAGTGGCATTACAAAGAACAGCACAGAAACTACAACACCAGCATCTCTGCCCGAAACGACTCGCGAAACGACAGAAGAAGTTTCTTGGACAACATCGGGAGAAACTATTGCTACAACGCCAGTTAGTGAGGCCACAATTACAGAACAAACAGATGTTCCCCAGAAGACTACAGAAGAATCTACAATTACTACTGCTGGCGAAACAACTGCCGGCGATGCCCATATAACCACTGATATCACAGCTGAGACGGAAAGCACGCCGACAACCGAAGAGATATCCAGTGTAGAGTATTCTACAGNCATATAACCACTGATATCACAGCTGAAACGGAAAGCACGCCGACAACCGAGGAGATATCCAGTGTAGAGTATTCTACAACTTCGAATCCAACGGATGGGACAACTGATATCTCGCCGGACAATGATGCTTCAACCACGAATTATCCGACACAAACCACAGGAGAAGAATCTACATTTAGTACCGCCGCAGAGACGACGACCCAGACTGTTTCTGTTACTTATAATAACACAACAGAGATAGAAAACCCGACTTCAACGACAGAAGTATCCTACAACGCCTCAACTAGTGAAGAGCCTTCAACAACCTCGAACCCCACTGATTTCACAACTAATATTTCCACGGGCAGCAAAGATACAACCACGGAGCAGACTACTTTTTCAACCGCTACTAATCCAACAGAGACAGAAACCACGCCATCGACGACGGAGATGACCACTGAAAATTCAACAACCACTACAAGGTCATCATATGGAACTACGAAATCTACAACCACTGAGGGAACAACTCCATTGTTAACCTCAACTACGACCGAAACATCAAATGGAACAACCGCTATAACCCCACAAGCATGCGAAACTTTGCCAACCGGCACATTCCTGCCCGATCCCGATCACTGTAGTCGTTATTATGTTTGCACATTCGGTCGAGCCATATTGATGCATTGTCCACACCCACTTTGGTTCGATACCAGGTTAAATGTGTGCAACTATCCAGAAAATGTTACGTGTGCAGCAAATAAAGACTGATCCTTCGTAAATTTCATACACAGGCAGCCTTTTCACTATATGTATGTATATGCTTTTAAATTTTAGCAATGTGATAATTTAATATTAAATATAAACCACATAAAGAAAAATATATATGTATGTATGTACATTAGGCTGGGTCGATTTTGTATGGGGGAAAATAAAAGTCATTTGACCGCATTGTAATAGTAATATTACGATGTCTTAGGTCTCAGCCAATTGTTATTGGCCACGAAAGATTAATTTAAAACGTATCTTTAGCCCGCGCAATTGAATCAAAGTGTATGAATTTTGAAAATGAAACTTTGGCTTGTAATATCTATGGAATGCGTTATTGTTATAAACATGACGATATATCAAATTAAGGGCTATTAAGAAGAAACGCCCATTTTAAGTCCATTTTTGCAGTCTTGAAAACTGGTGCGGAATGGTTTCATTAGCCGCCGCAGAAGCACATTTTTCGCGTTTCTAAATTTGCCGTTATATGAAAGTAGGGGATGTGCAATATGTCTTTAGATATACATAAATATTTTAGTTAATTCCATTATGTGAAAAAGTGTCTGTAAGTAAATGCAATAGTCTTTAACATATCCTGGGATATCCTTTTGCGNATCTTTAGCCCGCGCAATTGAATCAAAGTGTATGAATTTTGAAAATGAAACTTTGGCTTGTAATATCTATGGAATGCGTTATTGTTATAAACATGACGATATATCAAATTAAGGGCTATTAAGAAGAAACGCCCATTTTAAGTCCATTTTTGCAGTCTTGAAAACTGGTGCGGAATGGTTTCATTAGTCGCCGCAGAAGCACATTTTTCGCGGTTTCTAAATTTGCCGTTATATGAAAGTAGGGGACGTGCAATAAGTCTTTAGATATACATAAATATTTTAGTTAATTCCATTATGTGAAAAAGTGTCTGTAAGTAAATGCAATAGTCTTTAACATATCCTGGGATATCCTTTTGCGGACTCTCCAATTGGACGATATTGCTTTGCATTCAGCTTGAACGAAAAAAGTCACTCGCTTGCACAGTTTTCTGTAATCCGGTTCTTTTATTTAAAGGTTATTTATACAATTGAAGAGAAATTTTTTTAGAAAAAAACTGGAAATCCACTTAAGTTTTTCGATATAACTTTGGTAAATGTTACTCGATCGGTGCGTAATAATTAACAAATTGAAGGCGAGACTTAATGTTACTGATTTTTGATAATAATATGACTAAAATAGTTCAGATTATAAACAAATTATTTAAAATAAAAAAAATCTTGAACAAAATTTTTTATCATTTTCTTATATTTGCAATTTTTATATTGTATGCATAAACATAAGTAAACCAATTAGTGTGTCTAGAAGTTGTGCCTGTTCAGTGTTTCCATACTAATTTGCATAAACAAAATTTTTCCGCGATGATGGAAAATAATGGCTATTCTATTAGAGCTACCGAAATTGTTCCTAAATTTGCAAAAAATCGCAAACTATAGCTAATATTAAAAAAGGATTAGAATATTTGGAACTAGCGATCTAAATGCACGCCAGCAATATTAATATTGTTCTTTACATCTTTTGACTATAGGCCAGTGCAATTATCAAGAGAACAATTAAAATTTTCTTGAAAATAGATGAGTTTGAGATTAACGATAAGATAAAGGGCTGCGCGAAATGATACTTGACTTTATCTTTTGCGTTAAAGGATTCATTATCTAATAACATGCACCAAAATTTTTGGCTAAACCCTGAATTTTTAACAAGAATTGGTCTTATTCGACTAGTGTGCTGTGGGTCACTTGGCGGTCGATGCGCGGGCTCTTACAATTAAAATGAAAGACTAATATTTTGCAGGCTTGTTGTTGACTTCATGATACAATATATTTTCACTATTACCAAGGGATTTGAGAAAAATTAGATTTTCGACCCGCCCTAATGTACATATGTATGTAAGTATAAAAATATATGCATTTTTTTTTTAAATTCTGGTTACTTGTCCATATGAATCAGACAAATATGTACGAGTATTCCCTTGAAACTATTTCTATAAAATTATGCAATTATAGCAGTTGTAGAAATTTTTATATTCATTTTTTATTTTTTAGTTTTTGCAAGGAGGAAGCTTCTAAAGCCAAACCACTTTAGTGTGGCACTTTAACACGAACTAAACTTCCTACCATTACAGTTCTACAAGTAACATCTCCTCACAACAGCTATGTACTAAAAGAAAATAACCCACCCTAGGCGGCCATTTCGCCTTTCGTGTCATGTTCACCGACATTTCTGCACATTTCACCTTCTTGTCATGGTTGTTCTTATACCATCTTCTCGTCTTAACTGCTGGTGTATCTGGGTTTTTGCAGTGCTTGCTACATCCCAAGCATGCTTCGACGTCAACTATATTTTCAGTTTGTAGCCAGTGATCGGACTTAAAAATGTGTGTGGTAGAATCTGGAAAATGTGGTAGATTCAAAAAAAAAATGTGGTAGACCTCAACAAACATTGATCAAACATTGTACAAAAATTAAATAAGTTCTAGGAATCTCAAAAAAATAATAATTTTAGTATAATAAAGTGCAAGATTGAAGTTTCTAAAAATTGCGTTGAGTTTTGGGAATTTTTTTTCCCTTGACAGTGTAAAGCAGTTCCTTGCATATCAAGATATTTTTGGAACATATTTTGAGATTTGACGATTTTGACAATTCTCAAGTAAAAGTAATCAACGCCTTAGAAACTTTAGATGCACTGAAATTTGCTAATACTTTCACAAAAATCGTCGTTTTTTAACATTTTCGCTATCAATTACTATTCAAAAGTTTATTTTATCCTCCCATTCGGCTTTGTTGTTAGTGTTTAGTGTTGGACAATTTTTGCTCTTAAAATTAAGAAAATTATGTCGAGCAAAAATAAAACAACTCAAAAACGCGAATATATGGTAGATTTCAGACCTTGTGTGGTAAATGTGGTAGATGCTCAAAAAACTGGCAGATCTATCACAATGTGGTAGAAGTCCGATCACTGGTTGTAGCGTATGTTCAGAAAGGGATGCCTTCTACATCAGATTTCCGCAAAACGCGGACAAACGAAAACTACATGCTCAGTGTCTTCGCCTGCCACTCTGGGAATAGCGGGGAGTTATATATAGGGATATAACTGCGTTATATTAAAGTGTAATTCCCCTGACCTTCCTTAAGGGAAGTTCCCCCCAGCGAAGTTGGCATTTTTGCAATGTTTGCGGCTACAGCTTCCGTTTTCTCCGGAGGAATGGATAAGCCAACACTCGTCATTCACTCAATGATCAGCTCTATTGCCGCGTTCGTTTTTTCCTCTAAATCTGGCAACAGTTTAGCCACCACCGTGAGCGTTACTTCGTCGGCGAACGCAATGATTTCAACTCCAAAAGACAAAGAACGCCATCGTACATGATGTTACATAATGTTGGCCCGAGCACTGATCCCTGAGGCACCCAGCTGTCTCATTTTACTTTCATTTCTTCACATAGATGGAGTGTTCCAGGGTTCTACAACCGAGGAAGGGTGTTATAATATTACGTATATAACCCGGGACGGAAGGTCTTTGCAGAACATTTAAAATATGCCCAATTCTGCTGAGTTGAATGCATTTTTAGAATCCAGGGCCACGGCTACACAGTATTGTTTCTGCCCACCACTTCAACGCTTTCCGGAAACCACTTCGGCTGCTATCGATACTACTCTGTTTATTGGTACCGTTGACGAATTCCCCTAGGGAAAACCACATTGATTAGCTGATGGTCCCCTTTCGCCTTCGATGAAAGAGTGGAATCTGCTGTAGATTATGCATTGCCTTGTTTGGAATGCTATACGAGCCTGGGGATTTGCTGTCCCCAAGCTTCTTAGCGGTTATCACGCCTTCGTCCGTTGGCACCTCAACTACTTCCCCAATGTTAACTGGTTTTCTTGTGAGAAGGGCCCAAACCATTTTACTCAGAAGAACTTGTTCCTTTCCTGGGGAATTTTGGAAATTATTGACATTGCCGTCTTGTAATCGCCACCCCATTAGCTCTCGTCCGCTTCATCGCATAGCTTCTTGAATGAGGCTCGTTGTTCCTTCGAATCCACTTTCAGCTGTTTTCACAGATGTTTGCATATTGCTTGCCTAATGTCGTCACCGGTAAGCCTCCGTAGTTTTTAGCATCGTCGTCTATCTTTTAAACATTTGGATTTTAGATCGCGTACTTATATTGTGGTTCCACCAATGTACTTGTTTTCAGCACGATTCGCCGCTTCTAGTTGAGATTTGTAGCTGCATCGTAGGCCCTAAGTTTAATGGCTGCTTCTGTTGCAGACTTCTTCTCTCTGGCCTGGTTAGGTGTCTCTGTCATGATCAAACAAAATAAATTTTTGTCAAGTGCCACTTGTTTTCAACCAAGGTGGTGATGACTACTCCCTTTGAGTTTCGCGCCGCTTGGCTTGGTGGTAACTGTGTGTGTAATGTTCGCAGACCTTAAATTTAGTGCACATAGTCAGTGGTTGCACGTGAACATAAGGTCGACGGTGGACTCTTTGCTGGTCCGGTGAAAAGTGCTGATTCCTCCATAATTAGCCAGCGCTAAGTCTAGCGCCTGGGCTTTGTCTTTGGGCTACCCCACGTCATCACTTCAATTACCATATCGAGCCCTAACCGCCAAAATAACGTAAGCGAAATTTTTTTCAAAATTTTCTTTTTGATGCAGAAATATTCCTAGAGCATCTAGATACATTTTTGCATCAAAAAGAAAATTTTGAAAAAAATGTCGCTTACGTTATTTTGGCGGTTAGGGCTCGATATACATACGCATTGGAATAGGCGCGTGCATTCGTTTTTTTGGAGAGGATTTTCGCTTTTTTCGAAATATTTCGATAAGATTTTAAATGACTCATACATATGTATGTATGTGCGTAGTAGAATAATTTAAATACATACCGCTACCTAAAGGTGAAAAGGTGAAAAGTCCATTTTTCCAAAATTTGGTTTCTGATGCAGAATTACAGATATTGCGAAAGTGATTTTTCGTCTCTCCTGAATAATTTCAAAAGATGAGCTTGGCACCTTTATACCATAAGTTAACGATATTTTATTTTTTATTTTTTCAATTAGCTTTTATATACATATACATATATGTATGTAGCATGTATGTAGAAGGAAGCATTTCTCAGCACTTCAAGAGAGACTCAAGACCTCTAACGTTTTTATACATATGTATGTATGTATGTATCTATGTTTTTTTCACTACAAAATTTTTGTGGTATAGAATTTCTAGATATGATAAGAAAAGATGAACAATTGATAATGCGGCGAACATTGATTTCAATAAAAATACTGATTGTCCATACATTAGAAATACATTTAAAATTAACTTTCGTTGCTGGCGTACACAAAGTTCTATAAAATTTATGCTATATCTAAGTTTTCATTCAGTGAAAAAATTAACGTCGGCCCGATAGAAAAGAATATAGAAATCGCGCAGAAACCGCAAAAATTAATTTCACAAAATAATTAATACAGTTTTAAAAATTTAAAAAGCCGCGTATACATATCTAAAAATAAATAAATAAATAAAAAAAAAAAAAACAAAAATAACCATGGGTTATAAAGCCTTATTGATCATCATTTTAATATCTCAACTACTCTCATTCCATGCAACATTCGCTGACACCTTCGAAGAATGTGATAATGCGGAAGAAGGAACATTCGTAAAAAGCACACAAAGCTGCCAAACTTACATATATTGCGACGGTGACAATTCCTACTCTGGCGATTGTGATGAAGGTCAATACTTCGATGGTGAATCGTGTGATGATGCAGAAAATGTATATTGTGCTCTGGATGTTCCAGAAGATCCAGAGCAGCCAGCGGTATCTGAAGATCCTGATGAGCCCGTACCGCCAGCCACATCTACTCCGAAACCTACAACAACTACGAGGCTGCCACAAGCAACTACCATACCAACTACCACTATCATCACCACCACCACCACCACCAGTTCCGAGAGCATAAATACGCTGGAACCGCACGCCATTCTACCAGTAGTGAGAGATCAATGTCCAGCTAGCGATGATCCTGAACAGCTTGTTCTTCTGACGAATGCCCAATCGTGCACAGACTATTTTCTTTGCTATCACGGGCACCCGATTGAAATGCGTTGTACCGACAATTTACACTTCAATATATATACAGCTAAATGTGATTTCCCCGAAAATGTACAATGCATGGTAAGTCAGAAGAGTGGATGCGCATGCTTATTAAATATAAATACGTACATAAGTATATATTTGTTTGTGAATTAGTGGAGTTACATATGTAGGTTTGTACATACCTTGCAAAAAATTTTACGATTCATCTCTAAAGAGACTATTCCGGGATTACTCTCAATCTGTCACAATAGGGCATTAATTAGTCGCAACTAGTCTCGTACGGGTATTACTAGAGATCAATTAGTCTCGACTTATCGCTTACGGCTATAATTGGAGATCAATTAATTTCCGGATCATCCCTAACGGGTACAATTAACGATTTTATGATATGAATGCACTTAGTCAACCAAAATTCATGTCGCTTAGCAAACCTGGGCCCGAATCGCGGCGTTCGTGATCGAATGATTACTCGTTTCGAATCGAATCGAATAAAATGACAGCTGTTTTCTCCCCCACACAATTTAAATCGACGAATCGCACTCGCTATCGAATGCCGTGATATCAACATCGAATGCCACGATTCAGACTCTGAGAATCACTGTTTGAATCGCACCTGACGCAACTTCTGGCGACTTTTTATACCCATTTGGGCATTTTTTTAATTGCTTCCGGAGTCATCTCGGATTTGCAGGTGTAGCAACCAAGGTTACTCATACGCCATCGACCGCAATACAAATTTAGCATCGCGCTTATCACACTGTCATGTATCTCGAAGCCGAGTCAAATTGCTTACAGTAATGTTAAAATGCAATTTCGTGATATTAATTTTTGTATTCTAATGTGCGTTTGTAGTTGTAGGCACTTAAAATAATAACATATATATGTATGTACATACATACATGCAAACGTACGTACATAGTATGTACCCTGCAGGAAATGTATCTAACTATAAGCTAACTTTAAGTTGATTAGGAAGGAGCTATAAGTCACTTATTATGTGTACATCTTCTTTGACGAAAGCTAACTATATTTCTATGGCGATGGCCGCGAAATAGTCAAGGGTGGTTACCTCTGCATTTGAAGTAACGTAACTACTTTTGGGCATAAAATGTCAATAGGAAAAACAAAATATTTTTGTTTTTATTTACTTTAATTATTTTTTCACATTTCATATTTGTTTACATATTCTGCTGTAGGTGGTCCCATATTCGAACTCCGTCATACATAACTTCAAAATGATAATATGAAATTTCGATCTTCCTCTTATTTGTTCTCAATTCGAAAAAGTATTTGCGAAGTGCAGGATATTTAAATAGAAACGCGTTTAAAGAAAACAATCTCGAGCTTTACTCCTGCGTTACTTGTCCACTTGTTTCAAGTTAGCTTTTTGTAGCTAACTACAAGTAATATATATCTTATAGAAGTCCAACAAAAAAACTGACTACAAATAGGTTATTTTTTATTAATTGATATTTTTTTCTGTAGGGTACCTACAAATCATTCATTGTGTGTATCATTCAAAACTTCAAAACAAAAGTGAGTGGACTTCGATGTTTTTGGCAAAAGAGTCAAGATTTTTCTATCATAAAATATCTATACATATCACACATAACCTAATGAAAGCCTTATATCCGTGAAGAAGCTCTTGCGGCAACAATGATCCGGTTCGAGGGGGATTCGTCATTGAATCTGTATAGTATAGTTGATGGCAATTTCAAAACGGACGATTATCATTGGTCCATATAAATCCAATTTACATAGACTTATTTCAGACGAAATAACATAAATGTCTTACAATCGTATTTGCAGGCATTCATCAAGAATTGTCTTTATTCTGTTTAGTCGCCGTAAAGCAAGGGCCCACATTCATAAAAAGTAAAGAATGCTTCATAAATCAATTTTTTTTTTTTAAATCTTGCTTCCTAAAGATCCTTTTTTTTGTTTGAATGAATACATACAAGTTTGTGAAGGGAGTAACAACACATAATTACTTTTAAGGCGCAGTGAAATAGGCCGGGCGTTTGCTAGTTAATCATAAAATCTGATTCATATAACTTTGAAAACAGCAGGCAAACGTTCACCGAAAAGAGTTACCCGAGCCAACTACTCGATGCCAGATATGAACGATATATTTTAGAGATGTGTGATTAATCAATAAATCGAACAAGTTGATCAATCGAAACCTGATTAATTAATTAATTTAAAAATAATAATTTTAGTCTAATCAAAGCTATTAATTTCTCGATTAGTTACATTTTAGTTAATCAGAATCTAAATAATTTTTATTAACCAGAAAACTGATTAATCATAATCTGAAACCTGAATAATTACTGCTATATTTATTTTTATATAAAAAAAAAACGTATTCACATACATACGTACATACATATAGATACATATGGTCAAGATTTTTCTCTTTAACGTTACAGTTGCACGTGTATTTTTGATTATATTTCTGAAATGTTACTTGTTTCCTATCTTTTGTTGTTTTAAAGATAAATGTGGTTTACGGTGGTCTTTAATGTTACATTTCTTGGAAGTCAGTTATATATAACGTCACGTTAAGGAAAACTTGCCGAATCCTGTGGAGTTAAAAATTAAACTAAAGTATTTTAATAAAGACAAAGTTCCAAGGCAACTATAAAAATATTAACTTTTGGATAATACTCGTTTATAACAAATCTATAAACCAGAATATGCAGTCTTTAACGTTACTTTCGATACTTTACGAAATTTTCCATTTTGATCGCATGCGAGGTACAAGATAAAATAACGCGCACCGCATACATTGGATGCCAATCGGTACTTGTTTCTAGATCCCTTAAGATGTATATCAAAAAAATATATCAAGAGTTGACGGGTGAGTCAAAGAAATATTTTTTTTCACTAGTTTTTCTTTCCCAAAATTTTGATGCTCACCTTAAATTAATGTCCCTGGTCGACAGCAGTTGTTTTTTTTTCGTCACCATCGCCTTCAATTCTGCTTTGTAAAGCATTCTTCGCACGGTTCACACGCTAGCATCTCCACTAACGCACCCCACAGCTTCTTTAGCGGTAGATATTCTGTCTGGCGCTATTAACGCCTTCTACCTCGGATATTTTCGGTTTATTTCCACCGGTTTCTTTGCAATCTGCATGTTAGTAGTGCCTCTAGCAGTCGATTGGCTCACATGCGATATTTTCGCTATTTCCCAGCTTGAAAGCCCCATCATAGCTTTTTTCAGTAATATTTTTATTTTTATTTCCCAAAACGCACCTCATGGTATTTTCATAACAAAAAACCAACTTACTTACTCATTTATAACAAAATCCGACACTTTAACGGAGGAAAACGGGTTGCAGCGAGTCTCTTATAAGTTATATGGGTGCAAAATTGAGTCAATGTGTTAATTAAACAAAATTGATGGAGTGCATATACGTTAGCGAAATTTGATATTTTTATGGTGGGTTCTAGTGCTTTAAACTATACTCTAATATATGCAAAAAAAAAAATCATTACAATTTTGCCAAAGAACCACCGAAAAACGCAAAAACGTAAAAGCACAAAAGATCTCCATTTTATTGAACCTTGGCTTTTGTCGAGCAGTAGGGATGCCTTAGATAGTAGTAGGTTCACAGCTGGTTAATTTTTTTTTTTATTAAAACTATTAGAATGAATACACATTAAGACTAGGTTTTAATTTTTGAGGCTTAAAATATGATTTGAAAAATTCTACAAATATAGCAATACTTTATCACACCCAAATCCGGCGCTATTAGGAGAAAAAATTAGTTTTTTCCTTTAGCTGACTCTTTGATATTAAATTTTGGAACGCGATCTTTTCTAGCCAATATTTTAGTAGAAGATTCATCAACGTTTATATTGCTGATAACGGTATTTATGCGACGCTCAATGACACCAACGAAAAGTTTCACATTATGCACTGTCAATACAGTCTTAGAGCTCAAAACATTCAAGATGGGTGCATCGTTGCAGGATAGAAGTCTAAAATTGGTATTTAAGATCAAAGTGTAAAAAATGCATAGTTAGTGATACAAAAATCTCTTCAGATAAGGCAATTAAAAAAAAAAAATTAAAAAAGAAAACCATTTCAACGCACTTGAATATATCCAATATACCCTGCAACATTTCATCCAAACTCGTATGTAGCGTTAATTTTCTTGCATTAGCCTCTGCGGCTGCTACTTCAATCTTCTCCAGCTCACTATTAAGATAATCCAAAGCTTCGGTTTTCTGCTTCAACTCCTTTTCTTCGTGTTCCGCCTTTTGACGCTCTGTGGGAAGAAAGAAACTCACTTTCATCGACCAAAAAAAAAATATGTATCTCTAAATAATTACCAATTTCTTCACTCAGCTCCTGTGTTGTATCATTCAATGCCTCCACTTCGTGACTAAGCTCATTGACATAGTTAAAGAGCGCAAAATTTTCCTCTTCTTGTCGCTTGAATTGCGCTGCCAAATTATCTGTGTCCTCCACTGCATATAACTCCTTAATATCATCTATGATAGCGTGATATTCCTCGAGCTGCCTTTCGTAGTTCCCTTTCAAAGCGAGTTTCTTGTTAGCCTCACGTTGCTCCAACTCGGGATTGAGACGCTTTTGACCTTTTATGTCAAAGAATTTCTGCAGCTTGGCATCGTGTTCGAGGCGGCGTTGCATTTCACGCATTTCCTATGGGAGAAGGGGAAAGAAGAAATGAAAAGGGTACTCTGTGAAGGTTGGAAACTTGATCTACGAAATGTATAGGTAGTTCTCAATTTTTTCGTTTCAGATAAAAAAGACGTCCAGAAAGCCTCTATTTCGGGCAGTCTGAAAGAGATTTAATGAAATCGAATAAAAGCTTACCCAAGCCATTTCCAAATTCAAAATTTTGCACATAACACATAAAAAAGAAAATACCAGTGGCATACCTACCTAGCCCAATGTGTTGTCAAAAGTTTGGTGTTTGAGTAGTCTTTTAAAGTCTTTGCAGTTAGAAAACTTCAGAAAATAGTATGTATGTACATATATATTTTTTACCTGTATATGCATAATTTTATCATTCTCGCTACGATCTTTGAGCACTTGTACTTTGTTGCAGAGCTCCTCGCGCAAATCAAAGGCTACAGTTGATTGGTCTATCAGCTCCATAATATATTTTTTCCCCTCATTGAATTGGGTTACCATTGACTGCCACATCTCGTTGAAATTTGCACTAAAAAAATTAAGAAATTATCTTAACCCAAAATTTTTTCTTGTGGATAACAGGAATATAAGAACANCCTCATTGAATTGGGTTACCATTGACTGCCACATCTCGTTGAAATTTGCACTAAAACGACATAATATGAAAGATATTGTTGAGAGAAAATTAAGAAATTATCTTAACCCAAAATTTTTTCTTGTGGATAACAGGAATATAAGAACACTCTAAGAGTGTCCACTAATCAAATCGCCGTAACAGCAGCTTTTGTTAAGATAAAACCTAAAATATTTCGGGAAGTAGAAACGTCTTTCGTGAAAACCAATTTCCACCGTCAATTGCAGAAAAATCTTGGGGAGCATAAATAACCGCTACGGTAACTAAAGCCAAGAGCCTCAACAAAGTGCCCAAACAGCTTGTCGGCAGCACTGGTTTAAAATTGTTTCAAATTCAAAGAAACGTTGAACGTGCTTGGTACTTCCTTTGGGAGTACGCTTGTAAACCTTCACCTGCTAGAGACCGGTCCGCATCTACGTCATAGAGCATCTCTATGCATTNCTCTAAGGGCCAATTTCACAGTGCGTAGTTAACTCAGAATCGACAGTTAACTAGAGATTTTCAGTACAAAATTCTGTAGTTAACTCCCGATTCTGAGTTAACTACGCATTGTGAAATTGGCCCTAAGAGTGTCCACTAATCAAATCGCTGTAACAGCAGCTTTTGTTAAGATAAAACCTAAAATATTTCGGGCAGTAGAAACGTCTTTCGTGAAAACCAATTTCCACCATCAATTGCAGAAAAATCTTGGGGAGCATAAATAACCGCTACGGTAACTAAAGCCAAGAGCCTCAACAAAGTGCCCAAACAGCTTGTCGGCAGCACTTGTTTAAAATTGTTTCAAATTCAAAGAAACGTTGAACGTGCTTGGTACTTCCTTTGGGAGTACGCTTGTAAACCTTCACCTGCTAGAGACCGGTCCGCATCTACGTCATAGAGCATCTCTATGCATTAATGGACTAGATGCAAACAAATAACAAATGTTCTTTGGGGCCAACAATGTACAGATATTTGCCGAGACCGCTACCATATTCATATAATAGAACTCATGTAACTTTTTTCAAGTCTCCATGCAACTTTCTATACCGTCCTAATTTCCATTTTCTTCGAGCTCGATTCTGAGTCAATTGTTAAAAAACTCAATTGCCTATTTTCCAGTATTAAAATCTCTCATTAATACTATTTTCCAGGGAGCACCGATCCCTCCGCCATTTTGGTGTGCTCAAGATAGGCAGATTACGTTGCTAAATCCTGGACTTAAACCATAAAAGAGTACCGAGATGGCTGGGGAACAAATCTCTGCCGATAAATTTGGAAGCTCAAAAAATCGATATTCACTTCCAAGCGCCTGAACAATCGTCCTCCAATCATCTTACAGAGTAAGTATGAGGGTATAGGCCTCAAGGATGAGACATTAGTACATCCAACTCATTCTCCTTCACACGAAATCCAATTCGTTGCCACTATATGGAGATCGATATGTATGGTTACTCAAAAAGCCTAGCTATCGCTGAGTTTTAGATGACAGCAAAATCAAACATATCTATTCCTCATTAAATGAATAGCTGGTGTCTTTCATGCCTCTACGCTACAACGTACCGATCCTGCAGCATATGATTTATTGAGTCACGCAATTTGCAATTCTCTGCCAAGACATCACTACACTTCTTATTGACCACATCCAGACGATTCTCTAACTTGACGACACTCTTATGAACTTTGCCAATACTCTCCTTGTAACAGCTATCGGTGACTTCGTTCTTACGCAGACCATCGATTTCCTTTTCTACCTGGAAAGTGTTTAAATTTTTTAAGTTTCTTATTATTCGAAAGGGCTTTTAGCTTGTCCCAAGGCTGACCTTTTTAATGTGACCTTCCAGCTCCCATATTTTGACACGTTCACCTTGTAAAATTTGCTGCAGCTCCTGATTCTGTCTTTGCAAAAAACTCAAGCGCTTTTCTTTCTGAAAAAAAAAAACAACAAACCAACGTCAAGATAACGGAAGACGTGTTCAGATATAGGAGTAGCTTATGCCAAGAACGCCTTACATTTGTATTCTTTCTGGCATGCGTTCCACCCTCTAGTATAGCAATCTCGTCTTTCAGCTTTTGATGTTCTTGTTGCAAAACCGTTATCATGTGATTTTGTTTTTTCAGCTGCCTAGCTTTTTCTTCAAGTAAGGAGCGTAGCTCCAACTGTAGGGAGCGATGCTGGAAAATTGAGGAATAGTACAAAGTTTTCAATAAAAAATAAGGTTTTTGATCTACTTGTCGTTGCAGTCTTTCCAATTCGGCTGAAGCCAATTGATCCAACTCATTCTGGTCCGTCATAATGGCTTGAGGGGTAGTTAAATATTTTAAAATTTTCCTCAACTAAAAAACCTAATCAGCTTTTACTTCTGTATATACATATGTATATTTTGCTCTCGAATGTTTATCTTCCGTAAATACATAGTTCTTTTGGTTGTTAGGGTAACAAAGGACCGCGTAACGATGCCAAGCAACGATAGCAACAGGTCTCAGCCGTGTGGATAAATAGCTTAGCATGCAATTGGCAAACAATTCCAAAAGACAAAATTCGTATCATGAAATTCAAATTTATTGTTGTAAAGCCCATTGTTCCATCGTCTCCGGTAATCTTCGCCACAAAGAGATAAGAGGCAATAATTCGGTGGCGCTCTCACCTTTGCGGTACAAAGTTTCGTTAGCCCTATAAATTAGAAGTAAGGGAAAGAAAGTAAAAAAGCCATGTCGAGTCAGATGAGGAAGTAAACCGTCATCGTTCAATGAGGCGTCGTCAAGGACAACTTTTAACGGTTACCTCTCCCAACTTCCCCGATTCTTGACTGCAAGGAGCCTAATCCTCTCCCTTATGAAATCATCGGCAACCCTTTTCACCTCCTCAATTATTATTGACTCAATTTTGCACCTAAGTGTACATACATACATATGCATGTATTAAATATATGCATTGAAATTTGTTAAATTCAATTTCTTCGTATGATAAAGGAAAACAAATATTTAGTTCAATGTTATCATATGTATTAGTTTTTATTTAGAACAGAGGTTTCGGATGTACATATTCTTAAATGGAGACAAGAGCCAGAATAAAGACGAAATAACGCCCACTTTATTTATTTTATTTTTTAGGAAATGAAGCCCGCGGGCGTTATTGCCATAGCGAAAGGGAAATAATGCCCACCGGCAAAAGGCAATAAAGCCCGCGAGCTTAATTTATTTTTCGAAAAGGCAATAACGCCCGCGGGCTTTGTTTCATTTTTTTTAGGAATATAAAAAATTATTGGCTTTGAAAGCAAACTCGGAATATATGACGGAAGTTACTCAGATTTACTCAGGATCTGATTAATCAGAGTCTGAGTAATCACGTTTTTTGATTAATCAGGATTAAGGTTAATTAAAAATTAATTTAATCGATTAATAGCACATCCCTTATATACTTACTTACTTTATATTATTCCACGAGAACTACAAAATTTATTACAGATTACTATAGTTACATATGTATGTGTATATAGTCATCATTAATGCAAAGGGCCATGTTTGACACTTTTTTCGGAAATGAGGCATTTTATATACATATATACATATTCCGTTAGTTGTCTCGGATGCATCGTTACACCAAAATTAAAAAAATTAAATAGAACAACTCTGCAAAAGCAGAGATGTGCAAATTTAAAAAGTTGCTTCCCTTTCTTGTAGAATTTCAAATTTGCCATGTAGGGCGCTTTGCATTGATGGTGGCAATAAAGTACTAAGTATTTGACTGTAAAATGAATTTACGCTACCATTTTATTTTCAATAATAATAATAATTTTCAATCCCTTCCATTCATACAGCTCGACCGACCAAATGCGAATAAATGCTTACCACATGTCACTGACTTTTTTCCGCATTCGCAGAATTGTAACTATTTCTATTACTGCATCAGGGGCTTTCTTACTCTGCAGCAGTGCCCATTTTACTATGGCTGGGACATTGAACGTCGCGCATGCGTACTAATTAAACAGGCGAAATGTTTTGAAGGATCCAAGCGAACGTACATAAATAAGTAAGGTACAGGCGTGAATGGAACTGTATCAGAACTTTTTTTCATACACATTTATATATATTGTACAAAGTCGGATAACAACAACAACCACAAATATAAGTATGACATACTTTGTACAAATATTTATGTAAATAAATGACGACCAAGGATATACATATATTGCGAAAAAGTTGCTCAAATTTGTAGAATCTTTTGCAATTCCAATCCAAAACCTATTAGTCTAAGAACGTGTCAATAAATATTTCGCGAGTGGGTTGGCTGAAAAAAATCTGGCCAGGATATTTTAATTAAATATTCAATAATTTTTATTTTGTTAATTTTCTACGCATTTGTTTAATGAACAAATTATATACCAACCGAAAGTATGCCTATAGAATGTGAAAATGTTGGGCTGTCTGTTTTTTTCCCGTCCTACCTATCGGGTTGGCAGGTATGAACAGGTAAGTAATATTAGTAATTTTCACTAATCTGTTTAACACATTCTATAGGCTTTATGCTTTCGATTGTATAGAACCCATTAAACAAATTTGAAGCGAATCGGAGATATGATATAATTTTTTTTACGAAATCGGTCCGACTTAAAAAAGAATGGCTCACATGGGCAGAGAGTCCACTCTACTATTTTTGAAATGGCTCTAAGTCTGTCTAACCAGGGCGCGAACAATAATCGGCTTTTAGCTTCAGGCACTAAACGGTTAAGTAGTATAACAAGCAACATTAGAGGATCTTCAACAAGTACTGCTAAAAGTCTTATAAGCAGCCTAGAAATAATATTAGATTCCTTCAGCGAAAGCGAAGGCTCGGATTTGGAATCTGGAGACATTAAAAAATGTGAAATTAAAGCTGGATTGAAGGCCAATCTTAAAGAAAAACGAGCTCATCTCGGTGAAAATCCTCTCAATTGGTGGAACACTAAACTAAAATACGAGAAATTGACAGATCTGGCCCGCAAATATTTGAGCGCTTCACCCGCCAGCGTTCCAAGTGAACAATTATTCAGTGCAGTCGGCGTTATATACGAGCCTCTAAGAAATTGCCTCATGGGAGAAAAGGCAGCAAAATTACACTTTTTAAAATATAATATGCCCCTTTTAAACTTTGACTACCAGATTAAAACACTGTATAGATTATGCACTCGTTCAATGTTCTAATAATTTACAAAATTCTTAAGTTATTATAACGATGACTTAAGTTGATTATAGCTTTTTTAATGTTATTCGTAACATTCGCATTCGCGAATGTGAAAAATATGACATTCGAAACATCCCTTGTACATACTGTTTTATCTATCTACTATAATTAAGTGTAACATTTTTCTATAAGTACACAATTGTGTGTAAATACTGCGGTGCAAATAAGCAACCTGATTGTAAAATTCCCTCCAAAGTCAATAAGCTGAATGATAGCTCAATTAATTTTTTGTACATATTTTTATTTCAAGGAAAGGTGTTACGGACATCAATCTTAATGAGTTTTTGAAATCTTAAGGCTGCCAAGAAGTGAGGTCGGGGAAAGTTTCTTTTGCCCTCTCAAAAGACTGCTGGCGTTCGATTAATCATACTCGAAAATCAGTAGTACACATTTAGGGAAATCTAGTACATATATCATGTGTCATAATGTATTACAACATTTATGACACATTTGGTAGATATGTACATGTTTTTTTTTTATATCTTTGTACATAAATATGCAGAGGTGATAATGCAACATCAGCGGTTCTTACTTCGATGGAGTTCTTGGAAATCATCACTTCATTTAATTCCAGCGCAGCATACGAGTATATGTACATATGTATGCATGCATGTGCATCTGTATATACATATGTATGTGCGTGCGTTTGTAAACCATACAATCGCTTATCAAATTTCAATAATTTGGCATACTTCAATGAAAATGCTGGCACCCAAAAAAATTTAGTTGCTCCAAACCCACCAACGCAATTGTAGGCACAGCCCTGAACTAATTAGCTAAGAGATGCATATTAAATGGCTTTATGTGACTTGCGCACTTTTGATATTTTCACTTATCATACCTGTGCATGGCGATATTCGCGAGGAATGCAATAATAAGCCCAGCAATGCCTTCATTGTCAGCAATACATCGTGCAGTCATTATATCTACTGTGCAGGCGTCGATTCCTATGAAGGCGAATGCCCAGATGGCGATTACTTCAATGAGTTGCTACAGACATGTGATCCCAGCGAGCTCGTCGATTGCAAACTCAACACTACAGCTAGTAATCCATCGGTTGGTACGCCAGCACCCGCACTGACGACGACCACTATTATCAGCTCGCCATCCCCTGCCACCATCAATAATTCTATAATAAGTTCAACCACTACAACCGCAGGCGAAATTTTTCTGTCAACCACACCAGCGATGGCCACTAGCTACCCGGGCAATGGGAATACGAGTACTATGAGTCCTGCAATAGGTGCGGTTGCAGCCACAACGCTCGCATCGATTACAAATGGCGATACGGCCATAATTATATCAAACGAATGTCCGGCCCTGGATAATCCCCGTCAGATGATTTTCGTGCCGCACTCAAAATCTTGCTCGGATTATTTTATTTGCTACCATGGGGAGAGATTGGCCATGCATTGCTCCTCGATGCTACACTTTAATGTGAATACTGGAAAATGTGATTATCCGGAAATCGTTGGGTGTCGGGTAAATACTAACTGACATACATATATAACTAATTCAGCTTATAAGGCGAAAGAAATAATTTAATTATTTTGTATATTCTTCCAGACCGATTTCAGCAATCCGAGAGAACAATGCCAGTTGCACACCATCGATTTGTATCCGCATACAACGAATTGTAATTATTTTTATTATTGTCGTAACGGGTACCTTCTCTTGCAGCAATGCCCTTTTGGCTATGGCTGGGATATCGAAAAACGAGCCTGTACCGCGATGCTACAAGCTATTTGCTACAATAGAAGAAATAAAAGAAAGTTGTGAGACAAGCCATTTTTGTACATTATTTTAAAATCTACAAAATAAATATGCGAGCTTCATTTCGAAAATATAGGAATCATCATTTTTAGTATATTTAGCGATGAACATATCAATATCACGATCAAAAAACTTATCGATATCAATGCTTACTACTGGATGTACATGTCAATATACATTGTAATTATTGTTATCGATATACATATTTATCGACTATAAAAATATTTATCGATACCACTACCATAACTAATGCACATACTTGTCGTTGTAATTTGTATACCTTTCATGAGCATGAAGTGGTATTATAACTTTGGTCCGATGTTTGTAAGTACCATAATAAGAAGAGACAGACCCATTAAAATATTTATATACTTAAATGATCAGAACGTCGAGCTGAGTCCATTTAGCCATGTCCGTCTGTATGTCTGTCCGTCTGTTTGTATGCAATCTAGTCTCTCAGTTTTCGAGATATCGGGATGAAATTTGGTAGGTGGGTGTCTTTTTATAATGTAACTACTACCCAATTCCCGCTTGCTTTGCGGCGCATATTAAGAGCTTTTGCGTGAGCAAAAAGAGCGTTTAAAGGCAAAAACGGCCTGTAAAGGAAACAAGTTGAAACGAATGAAGAGCAGAATCCTCCTCACACATGGACCAGGAATAGTAGCGCTGTGATGCCATATGGAATACTTATCGCTTTCGATGTCATGAGCTTTACCGATGTTCTTATTTCCAACTGTGAAATCACTGCCAAGCGTGCAAAATCGTCTATGATCTTGCAACTACAACATTGGTCCGGTGCGTAAGCCAATAAAAGTGCTTATAAGGAAACTCAAGAGCACAGATACGCGTTTTCAGTTACAGGAGGGCCAAGAATCCTCAATGTTCCACAGGATGAAAAGTTTTCCCGTATATTGGCTAAATTAGTCTCTTTAATTTCATTCAAATAAAGCCATTGATATACCTACCGTGTTCCTTCTTGGACGGATGTGATCGAATCTTTCATTGTCGATTCGCCACTTTTAATATTCCTCTTAATATTTATGAACTGGTTTCTTTGAGTCTTACTGCTGAGAAATTTTCTGAATCGGAGGTAAATGCAAGATCGCATTAAGGGTGTATGAGGGCGTCAAACCAAGGTGCGCTTACATAATTTCATTTAGCGATCTGAAAAGTAAACATAAGGAGTTTCTATATAAATATTTCGGCAGTAGCGCCATCAATTGGATCAATTTTCTGGAAAATAAGCGATATGAGAAATTCAGTTTGTATGGAATGTGCCACTCCCCCTTTTCCAATACCTTGTAGTTTCCGCCGAGAGCACAGTATGAATAACATATCGCCATTTAAAGTACAAAACCGCGTATCAACAAAATGCAAAACCGCGTGTCAAGATAATGCAAAACCGCATATGTGAGGTTGCATAAATTATTTTCTAGAGAGTAAAAATTGTTATTTTTTTTAATAAATCAATCCCATTTCTGGCTAGTATATTTCAGGACGAATTGATAAGGATTGACTAAAAGCTTGTGTGAGCAAATCCGGTTTTTGGCAGCAAATGTCAGTTACGCCGGTTTGCAGAATGACGACGATACGCGGCTTTATACTTTAAACGACGGTATATAGCTGTATCAAATTTCAGCAGGTTGGCCTAAGCGGTTCCAAAGATAAGCGATATGAGAAGTTAAGTTTGTGTTGGAGGAGCCACGCCCCCTTTTCCAATATTTGCCATTTTTCGCTATAAGTATGCTACTGATAACATATGCAGCTATGTTACATTTCAGGACGTTAGCTTAAGCGGTTCCAAAGATAAGCGATATGAGAAATTCAGTTTGTATTCGATGTGCCACACCTCCTTTTCCAATAGCTCCCGGTTTTCGTCATAAGTAGGGTATTTTCAATTTATGCATCAGTGCCAAGTTTCAGTTCCCCAGCATAGTGGGTTTAAGAGATTATTGGTGCCCTCAAAAAAGGGGCTTCAACATTTTATTGTGACGAATGTATGTATACATATCTAGCATTCTTCCACTGTATAAGAACGCTAGGAATATCCCGACCCCAGCGCCTCCTCTCATGTAATTTTTTAGCCCAAATACTCCTTTTCAATTGGCTAACACATGTTCTAAGTATGAGCCAAATCTGCAACTACCCTGCAGTCAAATGTACTAGTTTTAAACTACCTCACAACTAGCATGAACCGCATGCCCAACTAGTCAGCCAACTATACTATTTTTTTCATGCAATCAACTGGTATTTTTAACATGGGGATGTCCTACGAGATGGCAGTTGTCAGATTTCGGTCAGAAATATACCAGTCTCGTTCTAGTTCAAAATATACAGAAAAATACTACATAGTCCAATTATGAACCAAAACCACTACTTTGGAAGTCAAAAAATAAAATTAATTCATGAATATACAAGAAACTTTTAAGTACACTTTAATACATTACACATTTTTATTTAGCAGCCTTAGATTTGCCAATAATAAGTGTTAAATTTTTGGAGCATTAATTAATAGGAAAAATAAATACATAAATATTTCAAACTATCGGACATAAATTTAAATGCAATTTCCATTAAATAATATTAAAGTAAAAGCTATCAGGTACAATAAATACTATATTTTTATCTTTTTTAATAATATTGAATATNGACGGACGGACAGACAGACATGGCTTAATCGATTTCTTTTTTCATCCTGATCATTTATGTATACATTTGTCTATATCTATCTCGATTCGTTTTGGCTGTTACAAACAACCGTTATGTGAACAAAATTAATATACCCTTGTGCACAAGTGCGCTCGGGTATAATAAAAGTGTTCACTAAAATAAATTAAATTCATTAACTTTGCACATTTCAATCTTTTCTTTTTAAAATTTTATAAAAGTAATAATTAATGTTTAGAGTTGAGATTTGAATAAAGTTGAGATAAGAATAAAATAAATAAATAATTCAAGCAGTTATTAAACATTCTTAATTTTTGTCTGTATGTATTTTGGCCAATTGATTGATACTGAAAAAAAAGTCAAAAAGAATTCATAATGATCAAAAATAACAAAATAATCATGCAATTAAAATTAATGGATTAATTAAAAACTTGTATTTAATTTTTAACCATTAAAAAGGTGCTAATATTTGAATTTAATCATTATTTAGCAGGTCTGGTATAATTGAATATAGCTAGCTTAGAAAAAAAAGTTGCTAAGTCCCATTTTAAAAATTTTACAGGAGAGGAAAAAATCTTCCTATAGCCATTTTCTTTAACTATTTCGCAAGACTTTGAATCAAACATTTTGCGCGTTTAAAGCAAAGCAAAACTCCATAAGAATCAGAAGGATTCGATATTTATTAAAAGATGTATTATTTTGGCCTTATCGGATTTGTGGTGCTTCTTTTGGACTTAGCAAATTTTCCTGTTATTGCTTATGAAGAGGAAAAAATAAAACAAGTATCTTTATAATTTTCGAAACGATGCGTATTCAATTTCTCTAGCCTCCTATATCAAAATATGAGTTTTCATAAAAAATGGACTTAGCAACTTTTCACTCTAAGCTAGCGATATGTGTAATGGTTTGCAATATACCCAAATAAAATAGGGCACGAATAAATCGTTTTGTAATTCGTACAAGTCTGGTCATTTTCGAGCTAGTTCGGTTTCAGTCAGGAAATTCTAGTTGTAAACTAGTATTTTTCCTGACTAGTTTGAGGTTTCACTGCAGGGTACATACTCAGATGTGAGCAGTCAAATACGTGCGTAATAAATTTTTGTATGAAAATATTATTTTTTAATATGAATATTTTTAAACGATAATCAAATATAAAGTTTTAATTTTTACTATGCATTATTTCCCTCAGTTATAAAATAGTAGCTCATGTCGAAAGGCCGGCTTTAGTATATTACGGCATTCGCAGTATCCGATGGCGCCGAGCCATTGAAGAACTTTTGGCAAATAAACGGGCAAGAAATGGTTCCGATACTAGCAAGTCAATATTCTTACTTAGTCTCATCAAAAAATTTCTTGTCGGTTAAAGGATAAAGGGAATGCCGCACTATACTAAAGCCAGCATCTCGACATACATAAGCTACTATTCCATACGAACACAGATATGTTTGTCCGTATGTAAATACATGTAAGCTCAATTTTGAGCCTATGGCGGAAATTAAAATGTTTTAATTAGCTTTTCACCTTTTGCGATATTCATGAAGATATTATCTTTTAGTACCTAATGAAAGCAAAATTTGGTTGGATATTTATTGCAGACATATGAATGTATCACATTTTGATACTCATTTGTAACCATTTAAAAACATGTGCATGCAAATATGTATGTACATATATACAATGTATATCATACATATGTATGTATGTATGTATGTTGAATTAAAAGGGCAACCAATTTTTAGATTTCGCCGAACAATTTCAAAATGAAGTTAGAACATGTTAATACGTCTTTCGAAAAGGACGTGATTCTAGCCAGCAAAAATACCATAAACCAATGAGAGATGATAAAAAAATGAGGGGCGAATCCAGCGAAGGTAAGGACTAGAATAATTGTAATATTTTTAATACCCACATATATAGGTAAACTTTTTTAGTTGCATACATTTACTTGGTCTTGGCTACAATAACGCAATACCCATACACCTCCTCATCACATTTACTCTACCGCAATGGGTTTAAACGTCAAAATGGCATTTGTTTGAACCACACCTCCGGCGAATTCGATAGAAATCCCGATGATTGCCGTTCATTTTACTTGTGTCTGGATAATGGACAAGCGGTAATGGCACCTTGCCCGCCTACAATGCTCTTCAATTCGGCCAGCAAGCTCTGCGACACAGCCGATAATGTCAGCTGTGATATCGGAATACCCAGCAGTGACAACGTCAGTAACGCAAATGACAACAATAATAATGGAAACGCTGAGAACAATGCCGAAAGTAACGGTGACAATGAAGAGCTGAACGCTTCCCGATACTGTGCCTCTCAACCGGCTGAGCAAAACCGTATCATTTTTTTAGGCAGCAGTAGCAGTTGCCAGCAGTACTACATTTGCTACTATGGACAGGCAGTGTTGCAGGATTGTAGCGCCAATTTACACTGGAATGCGAATACCGCCAAGTGTGATCTGCCGGAAAATGCTGGCTGTCCGTTATGGACTGGAAACACCGGTATCAGTACGATTGGGCTGGCAAATGGGAGTGGAGTTAATGGCAACGGTGCTGATAGTTTTGCGCCTAATGGCAATCAAATCGGCGGACAAAACGTGAATAGCGAATTAATTAATTGCCCAATCTATGGGCAACATGTATTTCCGCATATGGCAAACTGTGAATACTTTATTTACTGTGTTAAGGGGCATGCTATGCTGCAAAAGTGCCCATTCTATTATCATTTCGATATTGTGTCAAAGAGCTGTAAATTGCGTACGGTCGCCATCTGCGTACGAGATTTAAACTTTAATTTTCGCAAATCAACTGCATAATATGTATTTAGTGTATACACCTTCCTGAATTTTTTTCTTTTCAGTTATTGAAATTTTAAAATTCATAAAATATCGAAAACCTGCGTGATTTGATAGAGTTATCTGTATGTATTTTTAAATTGGCATCGACATTTTGTATGATAAGTATTTTTTGGTATAGTTTTGGTCACTAATTAACCGCAAACTTTTTTCATAACCTAGCCTACAGTACATACAAACATAGGATGTATGTAGGGTTGCCAACATTTTCTAAGATATTTATTGTACTGTAAAAAAAAAATCTGAGAAAATATAGTACACTTCAAATATATATAAGGCCGTGGCAGCAGAAGTGGCCTAACCAAAAAATTTTTTTGTGTACTTCCCTACTTAAAATAGTCTCAAATGAGATAAATTTTAAAACGAAAGTCGCTTATTCTTTAATTCTAAGGTACAGAGCTGCATATCAAATTACGGAGTAATCAACCTTTACTTTGAAATTTATCACATTTGAAACCGTTTTAAGAAGTTAGGTACAAAGAAAAAAATGTGGGTTAGGCCATTTCTGCTCTCATGGTCTCATATATATACGGTATTTTATTTCTAAAGCATTTATTTTATAAAAAATACACTTCTTTGCACTTTTGGCAGTTTTTAACAGTCCCTTGATAACTGTCAAAGTATCATATACTTTATAGCAATAAAAATTTAAATTTATATGCATCAAAAGTTTATTTTTTATTAGTGAGGTAGCGGCTTTGTTTCTCTCATCTTGCCATTCCACATTTATAATAGAAAAACTCTTTACGTGAATGTCGAAGTTGCAGAAATAGAGTAGAAATTAAATAAATTTAAGTAAGTTGCGTAATTAATTCTCAGGATTATAAAAAATATGTGCCCATTTTTGATCTGTGGTTCTTTTCATATTTCATAAAGTATTGCTGTTTCCGAATAAAAATTTATTCTGGCAAATTACTGAAATATATTAATATGTCAGCCAATTGCCCTAGCGGCTAGCACTGTAACCAAGGGCGTAGCAAGAACGAAATGTAGAGGAGACCTATACAAAAATATTTTTTTTTCAGAACCAATAACTCACTTACTAAAAAATTGTTTATTATAGCTTAAAATTATTGTAACCAATAGAAGGCAATATTTGTGATATTTGTGATATTTATTGATGAAAGCATTTGTACAACTTAAGACAAGAACAGTCTTTTAAAAGTACATCAACTACATACATACATACATGCATGGATATGAATCAAATACAACTGGAAGTTAAAATATGTAACATGATTTGTTGAATTTATGAATAATTTTGTATATTAAGTAATACAGTTCAGCCTGAGGTTATAACAATACTGAACATTCTTAATCTTTAATAAGAGGATAAGAGTAGTTGGGATAAAGATTAATAGATTGAAAGCATGGGAGGAGGAAAAACAAAAGAATTCAGAGAATATTAATCCATCTCACAGAAGTAACGAAGAATTGCTGTTTTGTAGTTGCCTCTATTCAGTTCCATCTTTAGCGAATCAGGTAGCGTGTTCCAGAGTCTCACAGCGTTAACGAAAAACATCCTTGATGAGGTTAGATAGGTGTACTTAGGAACAATAAGGCTATGATGTCTTCGTGACACTGGTCGTATCAGTATGTCACAAAGGTATTTAGGTGTATTCCACTCCAGCAACTTGAATACAAACATGCAGTTTCTCGCCTCTAGATAGATAGTCGAAGATATCGCAACCCAGAATTTTATTTCTCCATGGAGTGATGTGATCGTACTTTCCAATACCATAGACGTAGCGTGTGACGTTATTAAAGGCCACCTCGATTTTATGTGCAGACGCTGAGTCAAGTTTACTATATACTAGTTCGGAATACGTTATCTGGGGTACGATAAGCTGAATGGCTAGCTTGCGTCTCGTTTCCAAAGGGGTAAATGATGCAGACATTTTCAAACTACGTAAGGTAGCAAAAACGCCGCTTACCACTTTATTAATGTGGTCGGTAGCGTTTAATCTGGAATTAACAACAAAGCCCAGATTTTTAATTTTGTCAGTTAACAAAAGAGCGGTGGTACCAATCCAAAGCTTCGGAATATCCTCGACATACACAGCATTACTACTTATCGGTAAAACATACGATTTAGAGGCATTTAAGAGTAAGCAGTTATCACGTGCCCATACAGAAATGGCGGACAGATCAGAATTAAATTTGAAGCACATGTCTTCAATTAGACCAATACGACTTGACAAGTATAGTTGGACATCGTCCGCGTACGCATGAACATTTACATACTGGCATACAGAGAACACATCGTTAACGAAAAGACTAAACAAGAGTGGTCCTAGGATAGATCCTTGCGGAACACCTGACGTAACAGCTCTGCACTGAGAGTAAGCACTTTCTACTTTTACCCTGTTGTACAAAAACACATAACCAGAAGTTCACAAAAGTTGATATATAACTATTCGTCTATTTGAATAGTAAACTTTTTACTGCGCATGTTTATTTTACGAGGAGGAAGCATCGGAAGCCTAACCCGGTCACTGTGAGACTTTAACCCAAACTAAACTTCCTACCGTCATGTAGCGTTCCCCTCCCGGTACCAACGTCAAGGATTTCGTCGGGATTATAACACTGTGTGACTGATAAAATTATAGACCTATTCTCTTCTTCTTCTTCTTCTTCTTATTTGGCGCTGTAGCCGCCAAATCGAGTTTAGCCAAGTTCAACAAAGCACGCCAGTCGTTTCTCTTCTGTGCCTCTTCCTCTGCTACCACCAGCGGGTTCCGAGTTGAATACTTTCAGAGCTGGAGCTTCGGTGTCCATTCGAACGACATGGTCAAGCCAGTGGAGCCGCTTTATTTTAATTCGCTNATTGGAAACGCCAAGTGAAGCCAAGTCCTTCTCCACCTGATCTTTCCATCGCAGTGGGGGCCTCCCTCTTCCTCTGCTACCACCAGCGGGTTCCGAGTTGAATACTTTCAGAGCTGGAGCTTCGGTGTCCATTCGAACGACATGGTCAAGCCAGTGGAGCCGCTTTATTTTAATTCGCTGTACGATGTC